ATCACATTGATGAGATTTTTAATTCATTTAACTTTATCTAATAATTATAATCTCTATCAAAACTACAATAAAATACAATTAAGAAAATAAATTCTAAAATTTCTTTAAAATAATAAAATTTGAAATTTATTATTTAATTTTCCCATAAAAATTCATATTAGGTTAATTTTTTTAATCGTTTTAAGAAATTTTTTTTATTATTTTATAATTAAACTGTACGTAAATTTGCAAACGAACCAGTTATAAAAGAAATTCTGAAGTATTCAATTATTTATTCCACTACAAGCCTTTAATAATTTGGTATTTAGTTATAACTAAAACTTCAAATTTTCGAAAGACATTTTCTAACCCCAGAAGAAATTAAACCATGAATTCTTAAATTATAGTTTAATTATTAAACTTGATTTTTATGGTTAATATTATACAAAAATATTATTCTAATAGTAGTACTTAAAAAAGAAAGAAAGAAAGAAAGAAAGAAGCCGTGTATGATTCACCTGTTCCCAAGAAGAGCGTGGAGCTGAATGATGGTCTGCTCCTCTTGAAGGGTGAACTTTCCTCTCTTAATGTCTGGCCTCAGGTAATTGATCCACCTAAGTCTGCAGCTCTTCCCACATCTTTGTAGTCCTTTTAATCACAATAATCCATTAGAATAAAAAAAACCAATCTACATATATATATATATATAGAGAGAGAGAGAGAGAGAGAAATGCATACGTCTAAATATATATATATATAATGTATAAACAGAAAGGTGAATTTAAGAACCAGCTTTTGCAGGCAACGCCCGCCAGCTTCCATGGCCATGTCCTTCAATATAAGCTAAAAGCTTCTGGTCTTCTTCAGGAGTCCATGACCCTTTCTTCAATCCCTTCTTATCACAGCAAGAAGACTTCCCCATTTCCCAAATAAACTATAAGCACTGATTTCCTATTTATGACCAAGACTTTTGAATAGAGAATCGTTAATTAGAATGCCAAGTGCAAACTTTGTACATATGCGTACATATATATATATATAGAGAGAGAGAGAGAGTGTGTGAAAGAGAGTTCCTTGCTAGTTGCGGGGAAGCTAGCAGTACTACTACTAAGCCAGTATCACTGATTGTAGATCAATAAATAAAGAAATAAAAATTTTGCCTAACTCTAGTGAAAACATTTATCATGCTTTTTTCTTTAAATAAAGAAATTATATTTTTATTAATTAGATAATATATATACATATTATTAATAAAAAAATAAATAATTTTTAAATAAATAGACATATAAGAATAACTTTGAATCGAACTCATAATTTTTAAAAAATAAAAAATTATATTAACCGTTAACTTAAATGGAAATTACTATTCAAACAATTAGAAATATTCACTATTTTTGTTGTAAGTAGCAAGTAATGTTTGCTAAGGGAACCATTTAATTCAATCTCTAAAAAGATAGTTGGTTCTTTATCAGAACACCAAACATTTCTTCAATGTGCTATTGATTTTCACACATGCAATAATAGACGTACTGTATAAATATTCTTATTTGTAGATATATGAAATTAATATGATCATTAATATTCCCGTAATTGTCTCC